GAGGTTATCTCTGCTGCCAGATCAAAGCAGAGAGAGATAAATGAGAGTAGCAGAAATGATAAAGGATCGGCTACAGTCTTGTATACCAATGATAGAGGAAGATCAAGCCGCAGGGAGTCAAGTGACTCACGAGGAAACAGATCACGAAGCAAATCCAGTCAAAGGAAGGTTACTTGTTGGTATTGTAAGAAGGAAGGGCACGTCAAGAAAGATTGTTTTGCTCGAAAGAGGCGCATGGAGGCTGATGATAGTGGAGAATCAGCTGTAGCTATTGGAGAGACTGAGCAGATGACTGCATTACATTCATCTCTGAATGATGCTCAAGAGAATTGGGTAATAAACTCAGAATGCACGCATCATATGACCTGCAGGCGAGACTGGTTCATAGAGTTCTCAGAGACTGGGTCAACGAAGATTTTACTTGGAGATTATCACTCCATTGAGACTTCAGGACAAGGAACCATACGGCTGAACACAAAGGGAGGATCTGTTAAATTCATTAAGAATGTTAGATATGTTCCTACTCTTCGGAGGAATCTGATTTCTACTAGTATCCTTGACAGATTTCAGGGAACACTGAAGAACGGACTTTACATTCTTGATGGAGAAACGATCATTTCAGAAACATGTCATGTTGAGAAACCTAAGCATGTATCTTTATGGCATAGTAGATTAGGACATATGAGTTACAGAAACATGCAGGTACTCGTGAGAAATGGTATTTTGAAGAAGCGAGATATTGGTAAAGATGCGTTGTGTGAGCATTGTATTATGGGTAAGGCCAAGAAGGTGAGTTTCGAGGAAGGTAAGCACAACACGAAACAACTGTTGGAATATCTTCATGCTTACCTTTGGGGCTCACTGAATGTTACTCCATCCTTGTCTGGTAATCAATATTTTTTATCAATTATTGATGACTATTCCAAGAAACTGTGGGTGTGTTTGCTTAAAACTAAGGATGAAACTTTTGTTAAGTTTAGTGAGTGGAAGATATTGGTTGAAAATCAGGTTGACAGGAAGGTGAAATACTTACGTACGGATAATGGACTAGAATTTGTTAATCTTGCATTCAACGAGTTTTGCAGGTCTAATGGTATTACTCGACATCGTACGTGCACCTACACGCCTCAGCAAAACGGAGTAGCTGAGCGCATGAATCGGACTATCATGGAGAAAGTTCGATGTCTGTTGAACGAGTCTTGATTACAAGAAATGTTCTGGGCTGAAGCTGTGAATATTGCAGCATATATGATCAACCGTTCCCCTACAGCTTCAATTAATTTCAAGTCACCAGAAGAGGTTTGGTTAGGTAAAACACCTGGTTATAAGCATATGAGACGTTTTGGTTATGTTGTGTATGTATATGCAGATCAGGGAAAGCTAAAGCCAAGAGCATCAAAGGGAATTTTTATAGGCTACCCTGTAGGCACTAAGGGTTATAAGGTGTGGATGCTCGAAGGTGAAAACTGCGTGGTTTCTAGGAATGTGAAGTTTCAAGAGGATCTGACTTACAAAGAACTTATGGCTAAGTCAAAGCAGCCAGAGGTCACAGAAAGTGGTGGAGTTCGAATCTCAGATGTATTTGAAGAATCTCATCCAGAGGATGAGTCTGAGCTTACAACGGATTCAGTTCGTGGTGGAGTATCGCAAACTGATAATAGTTTGGAAGATTCAGATGCACAACCAGCAGGAGATTCAACTGATGAAGCTAGGACAAGTCTCTCAAACTATCAACTTGCCAGAGATCATACTCGTAGAACCATTGTACCACCATTAAAGTACAATGATTATGAGTGTACTGAGGAGGAAGTGGCATTTGCGTTGATATGTTCAGAGTTAATGTATGCAGAAGAGCCAAGAACTTATGCAGAAGCAAGAGCTAGTCCAGATTGGGAAAGGTGGAGTAAGTCAATGGATGAGGAAATGGATTCGTTGAAGAAGAATGAAACTTGGGTTTTGGTTAAGAAGCCAGAGAATAGGAAAATTATTAGTTGTAGGTGGATGTTTAAGATTAAGCCGGGGATTGAAGGAGTTGAGCCTGAGAGATTCAAATCTCGATTAGTTGCAAGGGGTTTCACTCAAGAAGAAGGTATTGACTATCAAGAAGTGTTTTCACCGGTGGTTAAGCATGTGTCCATACGTGTTCTGTTATCACTTGTGGTAAATCAAGACCTGGAGTTGGAGCAGATGGATGTCAAAACAGCATTTCTACACGGTACACTAGAGGAAGATTTATACATGAACCAGCCAGAGGGTTATGTAGTTAAAGGCAAGGAAGATCATGTGTGTTTACTTAAGAGATCACTGTATGGCTTGAAGCAATCGCCACGACAGTGGAATCGTAGGTTCGATCAGTTTATGAAGTCCAGAGACTTCAAAAGGAATGAACATGATCAATGTGTATATATCAGAGAAGCTTCAGGCAAAGACAGTGTGTATTTACTGTTGTATGTCGATGATATGTTACTTGCTTCAAAGGGCATGTCAGAGATCAAGAAGCTTAAGTCAGAGCTGAGCTCTGAGTTCGAGATGAAGGATCTCGGTCCTGCACGAAGAATACTAGGCATGGATATCTTCAGAGATCGAGCAAATGGAAGTCTTGGACTATCTCAGAGTGAATATTTGAAGAAAGTGGTTCATAATTTTAGGATGTCAGATGCTAAGAGTTGTCTCACGCTAATTGGAGCACATTTTAAATTGGCGTCAGTAAAGGAACGAGATGAGTTGCTTGATACTGAGAAACATCCATATTGTTCTGCAGTTGGAAGCATCATGTATGCTATGGTGGGATCTCGTCCAGATTTAGCGTTTGGAGTTGGCTTGGTAAGTCGGTTTATGAGCAAGCCAGGAGAGATTCACTGGGAAGCAGTTAAATGGCTGTTGAGGTATATCAAGGGAGCATCAGATTTACAGTTATGCTACACTCAGACGAAGGAATTCAAAATCCAGGGATACTGTGACTCGGATTATGCAGCAGACCTAGATAGAAAGAGGTCTACTTCTGGTTATGTGCTTACAGTGGGAGACAATGTGGTTAGTTGGAAGTCTCAACTTCAACCAGTTGTAGCTCTTTCTACAACTGAGGCAGAATATATTGCACTCACAGAAGCAGTGAAGGAAGCGATATGGTTGAAGGGATTACTTGAAGACTTTGGAGTAGAGCAAGGACCTATTCAGATATGGTGTGACTCTCAAAGTGTGATATGTCTCTCTAAGAACAATGTGTTTCACGAGAAGACAAAGCATGTTGCAACAAAGTACTACTTCATCCGAGACATCATTGAGGATAAAGTAGTAGATGTGGTAAAGATTCATACTAAGAAGAATCCTGCTGACATCTTGACAAAGGTAGTACCTGTGGGTAAATTCAATGCAGCGTTGAATCTACTCAAAGTACTCAAAGCGTGAAGAAGCTTTGGCACCGGCCAGACGGTGTAGATCCAGAAAGTGATTCACGGTGGGAGAATGGTGAGATGTTAAGGTATGTCTTTCAAAGTTATGTTCATGGTGGAGATTGTTAGTTGTGAACTATAACTTAGAAGTAGTTAGACGTTAGATGAATGATGAGGTGAGTCATAGTCTCTGTTGGACGTAGAGTATTAGACAGACTTGGTATTGATACCGGTTATCTTTTGGGTCAATATCGGTTTGTTCTAAGATTCTATTTTAGTCCGGTTTAGTTGTAAACTCTTGGTATATAAAAGAGTAACAGAGTTATGATGTTATCATCGTTCTCATTCATCTAAGAGTCATAGGGTAGAGAGTTCAGGTTGTTCAGCTGCTTGTGTAACTGATACACCATTCTAGTGAATTGCTGGATCGAGTCTGGCCCCAGGGATTAGTTCTCCATATCAGAGAGATACCCTGGGTAAACAAACCTGTGTGTTGATTCGTTTCTTGTTATCATTCTTGTTACTTGAGTGTGTGAGAGAGAGATACACAAAAGCTTCGTATTCGATCGTGTGAAGAAGACTTAAGGCTTGATTTGAGCTATTAGGTTGTAACATAGCAGTTGATAAAAGAGTGAGATACAGAATGAGATCCAAAGATATTAAGAAAAGGTAAAACATAAAATATGATATGGATTAACAATGTACTTCGTAAAAGAAGCTTTACCTGCTCACATCGGATCTGTGAAACAGAGAAGAGAACTAAATATCTGAATTGACACGTAATGTGAAACATTTTATTTGTTTTATTTTTTAATTTTATTTTTGATCTATGTGGCATAACATTAGTTGAGTGACTTGTGATTTAGTATATATAAGATAATATTTTTTTTAAAGTATAAAGGGAAAATGTATTTTAAGAAAGAACAAAAATATTGTATCACTATTAAAATGTTAGAAACATGTTTTAATACTGTCTGCTGGTTTTAGGAGTCCTAGTGAAAGGATAAGACCATCCGCAACGGTAAACAAACACGGATCCTTAGAGCAGCATTAACACGGGGGCTTAGGGAGATGCTTAAGTGATTTTTAGTTAAAAAAAATGCTGTAATTAAACAAGCATTGACGCTTAATTAAGCGCATGAAGCAGCGGTGCTATCTCACACGTGTCACCCTCTCAATACTCCTCTCAATACTTTGCGTTCCTTTCTCTCTTTCACGAAACCTATCTCCCGACGGCTCCCCCTCGATGGCTGAGTGATCAATCGGCAGTGATGTCTCCTCGTGTCTTTCGATCTCCCCGACGGCTCTGTGATCAATCGACGACTCCGCGATGAATCTCCTTTATGAAATCAAAAAGAAAGGTAAAGAGACGGACGTATATGTCATTATTGAAGAATCGTAGTAGCATCACACAATACGTTGAAGTTCTCTGCTTGAATCATTCTTCTTTGACATATATCACCTCCTTGTCTGAATCAGGTTTGGATCCTCCTCTCTGCATAAAGCTTCGATCTTTGAGTGACCCTGAAGAGTTTCAAACGAAAGTTGTGTCCTTTTAACTTGATTCACCTGTGTCTTCCTTTTGATTTGGAAGCTTTTGGCTTTTTCATGAATGATTTTGATTTTAGGTTTCTCTATAATATAACATCTGATTGAAAAGTCAAAAACTTTGTTCAGTTTTGTAGTTAACATTTGCTCATTTTTGATGCAGAATGGTTGACTTGTCTACTTTATTTCCTACGGAGATCACAGTGATGGGATCAGTGTTCTGCGTCTTGCTCTCAATGCACTTCACGGTGCAGCTCATTTTCCAGCATCTTTTCTACTGGAAGAATCCTAAAGAACAAAAAACCATTCTCATCATTGTTCTCATGGCTTCTGTTTAGGCTATCACCTCTTTTTTGGGTTTGCTTGATGCTAAAGAAAGCGAACCCATTTTCATGTTTCTAGACGCTATTAAAGATTGCTATGAGGCACTTGTAAGTTCTTACTTCCCCTCTTTTTCTCTCTATGGCAGTTTCTTGATTTGCTGTATTTTTATTGTTTCAGGTCATTGCTAAGTTCTTGGCGTTGATGTATAGCTACCCTAACATATCCATGAGTGGAAGGATTATCCCTGATGAGATTAAAGGGAGAGAAATCCACCACTCTTTCCAGTGACTTTACTTGTTCCCAGGACTACGCATTTGGATCACCTCACGCTGACACAGCTCAAGCATTGGACATGGCAGTTCTGTATTATCCGCCCTGCGTGTTCCTTCTTGATTGTATCACTGCAGCTTCTCAGGATTTATCCACCGTGGTTGAGCTGGATCTTCACATGTATATTTGGTATTGTATTCTTTGGTGAAATTTTATCATGTTTTTGCCAAAGAGTTGGATCTTCATATCTAAAATAAAACAATGTCTAGTATTTTTTTAAGCACCCTAAAATAAGCAATTTACATTGGAGGATCAAAATTTAGAAGTTGCTTAATTTGAATTCTTAAGACATAAGTATTATTAAAAAATGAATAAGCACTCCATTAGGAGTGTTAGCGTTAAAGATGCTCTTAGCACTTTAACCTAGGTGATTTCAGTTAAGAAATTATTAAAAAAAGAAAGTTTGCTACGGATTTTAAGGACTATAAGGATTCAATCTTTACGGACATGGCCATGTATTTTTGTCTCTCTTCTTCTTCTTGTTTCTCTTCTTCTTCTAACAGATCTGTCACTTCTCTTCCTCCTCCTCTCTTAAACGTCGTTCTCAAACACTATTGTCTTCTTTATCCATTTTCTTTTTCATCTCGTCGTCGATAATCATTCATCTCTCTACTGTACATCTAAGAAAAAAATCAAACTTAAAAAAAAACATTTAGAAAAGGTACATAGAGGACGTAATAACACAGCACATACTCTATTTCATTTCATTAATAATACAATCCCCTTTCATGATCGTCATCCATTTCCTTTTCTTAATCTCCCGCTTGTCTTCATAATCTTTAAGTGCTGCAACACACAGATTTTCGAACAGATCTCTCTTTCTGTTTTTTTTTTCTCGATTTTCTCTTTTTCTTGTCTAACTATGAAAATTTATTGATTTTGTTTCTGGGTTTTCTGAATCATTGTTGATCAATCTCTGGAAATCGCAAAAGTTTCTATTTTTTTGATGATCCATAGATGCATTTTTGTTGAATCATAATTTTTTTTCCCTAAGAACTCCTAAATGGGATCCACTATTGGACTAACTTTTTCTGCTTAGAATTTTTAACTATTCAATTTTTTTTAAAAAGTTAAATAATCCCTAAGAACTCTTTAATGGAGTCCAACATCGTGGATGCTCTAAGAGTATACTAATTAATGCAGTTATTGCAAAGCTGATACTAATGAGAGTATACTAATGCAGTTATTGCGAAACTTATACAAGCTTCGCTAATCGCAGGTACTACCTTTGACTTTTTTATTGGTGGCTTGAAAAATATTTTTTACCCACTTTTTTGCCTTCATCTTTTCTTGAATTGACAAACTTTTTTCCAACTAATTTATACTAGTTTATTATAATGAAATAATATTTAGCAAAAGAGAATATTTATAATAATTATAATATATCATCTATCTTATTTTCTTATTATTTAAAAGGGAAGTTTCTTTTTCTTGTGTACCATGAAAAGGTTATATATATTATTTCTTTTGGTAAAAAAATCAAGTTAATTTCATCATAAACTAAATATACATCAATTAATCTGTAAAAAAATAATTAGTATATTTAAAATATTTAGACAAACATTACAACATTTAAGTTATGACACACTAATAGAATCAGTAGAAAAAATAAATTAATGAATTACTATTACATGTATATTTGATATATATATATATATATATATATATATATATATATGTGTGTGTGTGTGTGTGTGTGTGTGTGTGTGTGTGTGTGTGTGTGTGTGTTTGTGTGTGTTTGTGTTTGTGTGTGTGTGTAATCCTAACAGTTGAAGTCTTTGCTTTAATTCAGAAAGCTTAAAACTTAATAATACCATATTAAAATCTTTTGAATTGATCATTACAGAAACTTTATATAAAAAAATATGTTAAAATTTAATCATTATTAGATATATATTTTTGTGCTGACACTTACCTAAGTTATTATGAAATGATAATTTTAATTATAATATTTTAACTATATAAAATAATTAAGTTATAATAAGACTTTGAAATAGCATTGTTTTTTACTAATAACACAGTTCAACCTAATTAATGTATAGAATATAAATGACTAAAAATTCTAGAAATTAATAAATTTGCAATCATTTTATCATGACATCAGTAACGATGAAATATGAAAAATATAATAGTAGAAAAATATAAAGGTGCGTAGAACTTTAATCCATAATTTTATATAAATAATATTTTTAATCAGCTTATTTTAGTAAATAAATATTGGATTTATACGTTCTAGGACACTTTCCCCTCTTTTTTGTCATGATCTCAGATACTTCCAACTTGAGGCACACTTTCTCCTCTTCTTCCTTATGTGTTTTGACACCAATATCTCTCTCATTTGGTTAAAGGAAACAAGAAACTAGTTAATGGTGGGTCATATTTAGTGAGCTTATAGATAATTGAGTTTTCTAGTGACCGTCGGATTTAAAATGGAAGAAGATTGGATGGTTTGAATTAGTTGTAGTGTTGTTTTTTTTTTAAAAAAAAAAGAAAATGAGCACATAGAGATAACGAAGAGCCATATATTCTTTTTCAGTATTATTAAATCACTTCCTCACCCATGTATTTGTTAGCTGATTATTTGTTTTATAACAAACATTTAACTTTTTTTTTGGTATAGTAAATTATATTTTTTTTCTATACATTTTAACATCCATTTGATATATTTATATAATTTGTAAATTAAACTTGTCGACACAAAAATTATGGACAAGAAAAATGCTAACAAGAAAAAGTTTAGAAATATGGACAAGAAAAAAACAAGAGTTTACATCATCCATAAAATCTCTAATAGACACACCACAAAACATAATCACAAAATATAATAGACACGAGAGTTGGTCGTCGTCTTTTCCACAACGGAGGTCGGACCTGCTTGTCGTCACGTCCTCTCCAAACCAGAGCTTGGATCTGCTGATCGTCCTGTAGTTCTCTCCACAACGCAGTTCATACCTGCTTGCCGTTGATGATCTCTTCTGCTTGCCGAATGCAGTATGTGGACGAGTTAGGTGATCAAGTTATGGATGTGGACATAGTGAGATTATGGTCGTAACCACACTATCTGAGTTACAAGTGGGCATATAATCTTTTTTTGTGGCCTAATATATAAGCTGACAATAGAGATTATTGAATGAGTATCACATTTATTCAACCAAGACAATAAACATTTCACATTTTAAAATTTCTGAGAATTAGAATTATAAAAAAATGTTTTAGCGAATCACTGCATTATGTGGATGTGGATACGTTTTTCTAACGATGAAAACATTGTCATTTGTGGATGTAGACATAACTTGCATTCAAACTAATAGAATTTCAAACTATAAAAGAAAATGACCATCTCCTACAATCACGAATGTAGTGGCCATTGTTATAAGCATTTGTAATAGAAGAAGAAAACATCGATGTGCTGTTCTTGTCCATATCCATGTGCTAAAAACAAATTCTAATCGCAACCAATTTTTATCACTAGACAACACCAATCACGACAAATCCTAAGCTCACTCACGAAAAATCTTATGCTCATCCACTTTCTGAAACTCCACCCCAACTACCTTGAGGTAAGCCACGACAGATCCCGAGCTCACACACACGCTCATCCACTCAGAAAATCCACTGCAGCTTCCCTGAGCTGACTAACGGCGGATACCGTGGAAGAAGGGGATCGCTTTGGTTGTCTCTTAAAATTAAATAAAAAAGTTAGGAATATAGTTTGCAGAAACAAAAAAATGGCGTATAATACGAGTTCTAGAATCCAAATTCAAAAACGAGAAAGGTGGATCCGACATCTAACTTTCCTAAAACTTAAAAAAAGAAACTAAACACTAAAAAATATATGATTTTCTCAAAACAAATTAAAAAATTGTTCTATCCACATTTTTCATGTCCATACATTTTATATAATCTTTTTAAAATATATTAAATATTTATATGAAAGTGGATCTTAAAATGAAGAGAAAAAAAATTACTATCTATTATGAAATTATATTTTTTATATTTATTAAATTTTAAGGAAAAACAAATAGAAACATTCGATATAATGAATAAAGAGAAAGATAGAGAGGAGAAAGTAGACAGGAGATAATATAATCGTAGTTAATTGTCTCTGAGTAAGTTAGTTTGGTCTGGTCAAAATTGGGGGTACGAAAAACATTCAACAGGCATGTGTCTAGCCAGCAGGAAGTGTAATACAAAAGATGAAAAGTGTCATTAAAGTAAAAAAATCTTTATTAAATATTGTTTTATAAAATTGGGTTTGCATTTGACAATGAAAATACGGTACTAAAGAAAATAATAAAGCGTCGACAAAAAAAATGGTCGACAAAAAAAAAAAAAAAAGAAAATAATAAAGCAGTTAACACTTTTACAAAATAAAAAAATAAACAGTTAACAGCCTAACCAACATAACTGAATTTACTATATCAGTGTGATTATACGTATCAAATTTTCAAAAATATTGAGATTCACACTGACAACTAAAAAGATGGTGCATTAAACGCCAAACACAGAGATGCAGCGAATAAGAGACCCAAAGGCTGTTGCTCATGGATTCTGAAACCAGTTTTACAAAACCTCTCTAATGTACAACCAAGTTCTGTATTCTATGCACATAAGTGCCCGGTTAAGCCAGATTCCGGTTAACTGATATTACTTCGATTTAAAACAAATTGACTGTGCCAGCTCCTGCTTTTCCCAGTTTCAATAGTGGACAACAACACACTCAGCAACTCTTCTGCTTCTTCCTCCGATGGAAGCTCTAAGTTGGTCTGCAGAAGCGGCTGAGCTGAAGTATCATTCCATCGTTTCCTGCTCGGACTACTCTTCTTTTGCTGGTTCTGTCTCCAGTTCCATACACCATCTGAATTGCTTCCTATGATTCGGACAACTCCACCGCTGCAGTCCGTGTGTATCACGCTCTCCAAACCGATTTCTCTTTCGATATTCCACACCAAATCTATTGGAACTCCTAGAAATCCCGGTTTGCCAAAATCTACCAAGCTGGGGCTGCTTAGAACCAATACTAGTCTCCCTGTGATTACAACGAACGCTCCTTCTTGCTTGAGGCCTTTGCATTTGACTAGCGTCTCGCCTTTGAACTTCAGAGCATCTCCGAACTCAGTCAGTACTGCTGTCCCCACCGCTTCTTCCCATGAGTAAGGCCTTAGAGGGAGTTCTCTGCTCAGTGGCCTGGGAAGGCGAAGCCTATGCCTTTGGGATCTCATGTTATGAATCCGGCTTCGGTTTCTGATACTCTGTGCGGTTTTTCCAGTCACCTCAAGGATACTAGCCGCTGGTCTTGCAACAAGTCCAGTAATCCCCAAAGCCATTCCTGAACCATTTAGTGCATGAAATTATTACTAAGCTAAACACAAAAGGCCAGCTAGTATGACTTAAATAACTTCAGCGATGGTTCTCTCCAGATTACCTGATATGACGCCTGGAAGACCATGTTTCTCAGCTCCTCTTATCGGTGATTGAAGGAGACCAGTGAGTCCCTGTTATGAACATCGTTATGAGCTCTCTTTAAATCATCTCATCGATAACCAATCAAAAGCAATTGCAAGAAACAGTTCGGCTTCTCTTTTTAAAGAGCAAATAAGATATACCTCAAACACTTCACCTATAACTCCTTTACTACGTGAGCCTTCGCCTAATTGCTGCTTTTCCATCCTTGCAACATCATGTTCACTGAAGGTAAATGCAACAATACCCTGCAACAAATTGAAAAACCTGTGAGTATTTCTTGAAGGTTGGGACTGCAATAGAGATTTTACGCAAAAAAAATGCTTAGTACCTTGTGTGCAGCTTTACTAAATTGAGTGGCAGCGTCACTTAAAGCATAAACAGTGCTACTCAATAGACTCGTTGTTCCATGAGCCATTCCTTGAATAATTCCTGCTGGGCTCTGTTCAAGTAAACTAGTTGAGCATATACGCTAAAAGTAACAAAACACATTAAAGATAAACGTTAAGTAACATGAAAAGGATTCTCACTTTTGAGACACTCCTGCTTGGAGCTGACAGGAAATCTTTGATTCCAACAGCAACATTCCTCGCAAACCCCATGGGATTACCAATAACGCCAGCAGAGCCAAACACCTGCGTTAATAAGAGAAAACATGTATAGTGGATCGAAGGAATACGCTACTGAATGGTATCACTGCTATATAGCAAAATCAACAAAAGAAACTGGTGTTTCCCAGTTCTTACCTTGTACATCTCATGAAGAATTTGACGGGTGTAGTGCCCAATAAGGATCTCCTGAAATGAACCCCAACTAGTCATGTGATGAGCAATTGTCAATTGCTTGAGATGTATTCGAGCACCCTCGACATCGGCAAGAGCCATGAGACCTCTCTGCAATCGGATCATAATGATTCAGTCAGACATTAGATACGGCTTAATTAGCAGGGCACTCTAAAATGCAATAGTGATTCAACATTATGTTACTATATTCTCTCCTTATAACTAGATCCAAGGAGAGAAGAAACTACAAAACTATTAAAAGCCAAACGTCACAAATCATGTCTTCATTGAATTCATGTTGTATAGCTAATGAGTGCTTCAAGAATAATGAAGGTAATGAAGAGGTGCATACGTGGATAAGGGACTCCCCTGAAGCAAGAATACCATTTCTAAGCATCCAGGGAGCACTGCAGAAGCTGTTAATAAAGAGATTCAAGAAGATGCAATGTGAGTCTACATGTAGATAGGATACCAATAGTATGTTTGTCTGATAGAACAATTTCTAGCTGACCTTAATGTAAACTTAATAGGAGCTAAGTCGAATGTTTCAACATAAAGTTTCCTGTGTCTTCGAGCCAACAAGTGAATATGCTGCCAAGGAGCTCCTATCGGAACCACTGTAGGTAGAGATACAGTGCTTCTCTGGCTTTTGTTAAATACAAGAATGTTTCTTGCATGTGGTGGAGCATCTTCCACACTTATATCTTTGGAACCAGTGTCATAGATTAGAGGATGCACTGTTGGATCTGAGAGAGGCAAGAGCCTAGCCTGAGAATTAGGAAGCACTGCTTTTACGAACTCCAACAAGGATAGTAGTGTTTGTAGCTCGAGCTCAAGTCCAAATTCACCAATCCTGCATTTGTTTAAGGAGAAACGGAGATTTGGAAATCAAAATGTCTATAATAATACACAGATCTCTGTGGTTACGAAAGAAAATATACCATTAATCATACCTTATATTTATGTACTCAAAAGAAACTAATGAAACATCTTTCTTCCGCCACTTTGCTAAGCCAATGTAGAGTACAGCATCACGGGTATTACATCTAAGTTGCTCAACAGATTCAAAAAATCTTGCTTTATCCTTAATACCCCAATCGAGAGGAATGCCTCTGTGGTCATCACTGAATGACAATATGACAGGATACGAAGAATTGTGAAGTGGGTTGTCTATCTGTAATGAAGATATATGAAAGGAAAGCTTCTGCTGATCTACACTTTGACTCAGATCTAACACAACATTTGACGCACAAGCGTAAACCAATTCCTGTAAGGTTGAAGATATAAGGAGTGTTATAAGAAACTTAGGGAGCAAAATATAGAAGTGTTTAAATTTTCTGGGGATGGTTACCTGTGGTTGAGAATTAACCAAAGAAATACCAATGCTTGGCAGGACAAGTAAGAACTTCTCAGTGTAACGGATGATATTATCCGTTTGAAGCTTTTGCTTTCCCTTCTCATGAAATTTAGAGTTAAACGTTTCCTTTATATCTTTCATGGTGTGATGACCTGAATCTACAATACTGAAAACCTAAAATGGGGAAAGACGAAAATGAACAAGTTGCATCAGCAACATAGAAAAAAACATTTTTTTCCTAAGAAAGTTAGTTAAATAAAAGACATTGGTATCAGAAAAAAAGCGTACCTTTGTAGCTCCTTCAGCACAGATAGATAGCAGCAATGTCCTTTCAGGTTTCTGAAACAGGTCAACTGAAACAGTTAACTAGACAAGAAAACACTTCCTCTATGTGCATCTTTGCATTTATTCGGTTGGAACTTAAACGGTGTATAAAAGTACGAAGTTAAATCTGTATGGTCTTATTTTCAAGCTATTAGCTTGTCATTGTAACTTCAGAGCAATTACTCATTCATTTGTCTAAAATCCGACTCTAGATATTTCATGCCAATTTCAACTAATGAGGGATTGGCTAAATTTAAAAAGCATGCTGCCGATCCTTTTCTATGCAAGGAATAGAACATGCCGAAGTTGTTTTTGATATATACCTCAGCGGTCGAGCGTAAGTGCACTGGAATAGGTTGTCTAGTTATCTCAAATGCATAAGAGCCTATTACACGATCTCCGGGAACCTATATTCGTCAATGAGAGGAAACAACGTGAGAAAAGAGCCAAAAAAAAGGAGAACAACGACAAAACAGAAACGTCAACATGTCAAGAAGGGCTGATTTGTTAGAAGCAGAGATGTGATCACCATACCTCAATGGTCAAACGATGTGGATAACAAGGTTCATCCCAAGCATAAGGGCAAGACGTGTAAGGATGAACTATGGTATCAAAAGTTTCACATTTCTGTTGATAAACTCTTAGTCTCTACCATCACAGAAAAAACCAACATTCAGTTTCTTGTACGAGTAACAAAGAGTTTCAAAATCAATAGATTATTATACTTCAGTCATTCAGAAAGCAAGTTTCCTAGTTCCCCCTTGAATCTGCAGAGTATATTACTTTTCTGTTTCGTATTATCTACATTTTTACCAACAATTTCACTTGGGTCCCAAATTTACATGCTCCAGTAAAGACATAACTAGCATAACTCACACAGTAGGTACCATAAGAAAAGCAAGTACAATTTTAGGCGTACTAGATATTGATTGCTCAGTTTGATGTTCTAAATGCTTGAAGTAATTTAGAGTCGAATTAACTGTGAACTATAGAGAGTAATAACTATGCTCCTCAGTTGGATTTATATAACCATCAATTATAACATTACTGACCTCATTCGAGAAATTATCAATCCTGTAAGGCATATAGTCCATGTCATCATCTGATAACAGAATAAAGTTTGTCCCGACATTTCCATGGACATTCCCTAGAAGCTTTTCATCTCCGCTAGACATATTGGCATTCTGAACTTCCACCCGCACCATGTTGAAAGTTTTATTAACATAGTTCCAAATCTTCAGTTGAGTATCACCTAAATGATCTGGCAAGAAGCTGCCTGACCATTGCCATCCTGGCTCATTTAGACGGATCGAAACTAGTAATTCCCTGTTTATATAGAAAAGTAAGTGGCGTACAGGTAGAAATCTTTTGACTGTAACTTCACAGTACAAAGGAGAAAAAGTAACATCGGTGGTTTTAAAATGGGTTCCAGGTTTTGAGAGATGAGAAACTGAATCATTTAAAAGAATCAGTAGCAGGGACAAAGGGGGTAACAGTTCCATTTCCAGACAAGTTAACAGGAAAATAGACACAAAAATAAACAGATAAACTATGACCAATATAACAAAAAAAACAACCAGAATTCAAGCATAAACAGCTACATCAATAAGAAGCGCAATACGAGAACTACTTGAACTACTTTTATATAGGATGACAATGGAAAACTGAATGCACAGATATCAAGAAAAAGATAACCACTCCTTAGAATCAGAAATATGTCGTTGATAAGACTTAAATAAGTAAAGAACGAACCTTGTAGTATCTGTCCACTGAAGCTGCGAATGCTGTCCAACAGCCAACTGAGAAACCAAATTGGTCCCCTTCTGCTTATAGCATAAGTTACGGCTGCATGAGTTACAGATGATGTATCTGCAACATGGGAATGTTTTTTATGGATACGTACGGAAACTAATACATGAGAAAATATAAAATTTGGTCGAACTATTTATCACCTTGGTTGGAAAGTAATTGCTTGCGTTCTTCCTGCTAATGCACCACCAAGAATAGTACACGTAACAGATAACAAAGATGATTCACCAGGCTGTGGTTGTGGGACAACTATATTTGTTGAACCACCAGGTGGAACAAGAGGAAATGGAGCAGACCACAGAGAGTATGGGCTATCTAAATTATCCGACCCTGGCAGGTCCTTTTTGACTCGGATACTGCCGTCACTGGCCTTGGAAATAGGACAAGGTGAATAAATGCATGCCTTAACTTTGCCAGGCTCATTACCTTGGAAGCACAACTCCCTAAAACTTTTCGAAGAAAGACTTTTCTTGCGAACAGTTGCCGAGTCTTTTGGGTATGCTAAAGGGACTTGCCGAGTTGATGGAGTCACATGCCTATCCAGAAATTTCTCAGTACTGGATGCAGTGGTGCTGCACTCCGATGAAGAAGGACTAGAAGGGGAATCCGCATTTGGGAATTTATCTAGCAAATCTTTATCAGAGGTCAAAATTCCAAGACCAACTTTTTGACTCTGAACAAAATGCTGCTCAACAAGGTTGTAGCAGGATGGAATTACGCTGTAAGCTTTGGCTTCATTGGTGCAGTCCGAAACAATCAGAGGAGTCCCAGTGCAGTTATACAATAGAAATGGGACATAGATGAATACTTCTCGTGCCCCACATGTTACATCCATTGTTTTCTCACAAGATACATAAACAGAACCTATAAGATAAAAAAAAATATTCAAAAATGTCTCAAAAGGAATAGCCAATTATAAAATATAAAATGATAAACCTTACCACCATTGGGATATGAATCAAAGGAAAGAGTTTCAGTCTGAGTGAACTTCCCTCCACTGAACTTAGCCAATGTACTAAAAGTTTCTGAGCGAGGAAACTTTAAAGATGATGATCTAGAGCCATTTAGTTTGAACTCAAGGACCAGGTCATGTGAAGGATCAATATGATAGAACGGAGTCTCCCCCTAAAAAGATAACATTTTCTCGTCACATAAAAAAAGACCACAATAACAATATAATGACACGATTAAACTCTATCTTTCAGAAGAAAGTTGTAAGGAAATATCTCGCAGACCTCAGAAAGGGATGCAGTCTGGGTGATGCCACCACTTTCTATTGAAAGTGATATTGGTTCCGGAAGACAGCTGCTCACAACAAATGGAGTACTTAAAGTCACTTGATGAATGAATTGCTCCCTTGATTGGTCAATATCGTGCAACTGCCGACCAAATTTTCCATCTGGAAAATCATTCAGATAAAATGATGCTGGCAGGCTAGAGCTCTCAACAGATATGCAACACCGAAATGGTTCATGGCTAGGGTGACATGGATAACATGCAAATGATCGGCGAAATCCTATCCTGCTATCTTGAGAAAGAACTTTGGAGATGCTATGAGCTTCACTCCACAAAAAAGAATCTCCCAGGGGACGCCACCGTAGACGGCCAGACTTGGCCAAGTGTAGAGGCAGTGGAAATTCTTGACCAGGGAAAATTGGATCTAGAATCTGAAATGTAATGACACAAGTTTTCAGAAGAATAGAACTGAAAACAGAAACAGAGATAGCTCTGAAACAAGGAATCTAGTGCGTTTATCCCAAATCAATTCTCTTATGCTCTTATTACTTAACGACAACCCTTAATGCAAGAAAGGAAATGAGATAAATCAAGAACCTATGACTAGCCAACCGAATTTAGGATAATGCAAGCAGGGACATATAAATATTATGAACCCTTCAGCAGGACATGATACCATCTCAAAAAAAAGTCTGGCACATATAAAACAAATAAACATATTGAATTCAATAACCTTCGGGGAGACACCAAATGGAATGTCAAAGCGAAGTTCCAAAGGCATGGAGGTGGAGTTTAAAATTATTACCTGAAAAAGGGAAAGATCATACGCAGAATCAACTTATTTATAAAAAATACAAAGCGTATGAATTGTAATGAAAGTCATACGTACTGTTGAATATACTCGTATCAACTTGCTCTGCTGATGCAATGAAACCTCAAACACAACAGGAACAACAAAGCTGTTCCCAGAACCAGATTTACTTGCTTTCCCAACATTATTACTAGAGTTTGATGTTTTGGAAAAGTCAACCTCAAAATAGGAAAGGCCAATTCGATCCATTGAATGAGGAGGAGAAGCAAAAGATGTTCCATCAAGTTGGACCTTCATATAATAATGTGTGGCATCAGTATTATCGAGATATATGGGAACAGAGGAACCAGGTTGCACTATATTCTGAGCCACCCGAGCTGAAATATTGAGCATATGTGAATTGCGCCCTTGGAAAACTTCGAACTCCAAAGGAAGAGAAGTTAAATTTTGAAGTACATAGGGAGAGTATCGTTCTGTATTAGTATTTTCGGTGCAGTAAACTGACAAACTCTTATCGTCAGGAACATCATCTGTTTCCATCAATTCCAAAGCGTTGGACATCTCAATTATCCTGATAATGCACTTCAACACAAACAGCGAAAATGAACATATCTGGAGAATTACTACACAAAAAGTTTACAAACAACAAACTACACCTCATCTTACCTCAAAAAGAGATTCTGTTAAGTTCACATTGAGCTGATTTGATGATGCAACAATTACTTCAGTAAGTCCAGCGTTGTTCACCAAAGCATTTGCCTCGAATTTTCTGGATAACTTAATATCAAAATTCCAGGGTTCAATAAAAGGCTCCCACAATACCTTCAGCATATATTCAACGGTGGTTATCAGCGTATTACCAAAACAAAGATACAAAAGACAGAAAGATTCTGTTTCTGCCTCATACCTTGTGCATATTATTATAATTCACTTCAAGGTCACATGAAATCAAACTCTCCACATTATTTTCGGTAAGATTAGCTTGCAGGAGAAAGTTTCTCATAATAACTTCAAGAAGCAGACCGCTACATCCCCACTGCATGAAAGTCAAAACACAAGAGATGTCTTAGCAGAAGTAGCTGGATTCTAGCTGAAGTATTGCATAAACAATGAAAAAAGCTATAGCTAAGGAGCTCATGGACAATCATGGAGAAAAACATGCAGTGTGTTTATAAAACATTAAATTAGCATGCAGAAATCAAGCAAACAAAAGGAACAAGTGAGGCCGAACAAGGACATGGATTATGGCACAAAGACTCGCAACACATTCATAAACATAGGCAGCAAAGTTAAATAACATTGATGGAAATATATGAGAAAATAAACCATAAACGTACCCTTCCATCTGATATAAGAAGAGATGCATCTCTTATCTGGAATTTCATACTTATGATTCCTTGAAAACTTTGTGAAGATGGCGTCTCCGGTGCATCAAATGTAACTCCATTCCAGAAAGATAATACTTGATGAGATGCATGCATCTTCAAATTGTCAGAGAGTACCCCAACATCTATGCTCATGATTTTCTTCTCATCCATCTGAATATTAGTTTCTACAAGTAGTTGTGACGCCCCAAATAGAGAGCAAGACCTGACAGTATCAACCCCGGATATTGCAAGAATACCATTGAGCTTTTCAATCTGATAGCACAGTTTAACATCTTTCCCAAGAACAGAGAGTTCACCGCTTCTACTAAGTGCTGTAACAGAAACATATTTACAGTATTTCCCCTTTAAAGTTTTAATATGCTTTTCCTCAGGTCTCTCGTGAATATCAGCTGCCATGAACCCTGGAAATTCTGTGTCGCTTACGCAGAGAGGAAAATAAACTGTGAAGCCAATAATCTCTGATCTTGCAGCAAAAGCCATAACCTCACAAGGGTTCTCTGATACCCCAGACTGCAGCACGCTCAAAACCCCATCACTACTGTCACAAGTGTTTCTTATCCCTTCAATCGAATCATGCATATCCAAGTTACTGTCTTCCAGTTTCTGGGAATAAGATTTAAGAAGTTCAATAACTTCAATCCAATCAAAAGAGTGTAACCAGATGTCCAGGGATGGGAGAGAAAAGCAGAGTTTATATTCATTTTCAACCTCTGCCGTAAATCTGACTTTAAGTGCTGAAGGACCCCCATTTGCATTGGTGCATCTAGCTAACATGACTGAGCTCAGCAATGAATGAAGCCCAATTTCGAAACACTGAACATCCAAGCTCATAGGGAAATTATTTTTAAGGTCCCCAGAGGAAACAAATTTCAAATCAGCCTGGAGCACCGGTTCAGATAGCAGTGTTCCAAGATCTTTCCTAGACCGTTGCAGTTTTATCGTCAAAAGATTGACAAAAAATCTGAATTTCATGAAGTTATCGAGAGATTCATGGGGTGCAACTGCCACCTCCTGCTTTAGACGCATCTTCGTATCAAGAAACTGAGGAACATCAGACACGAACAGTTTTGATTCATCACCAACTAAAGAAAGCTGATCAACCACATCAAGAAATGCCTTAAACCCATCCAAGGAATCTGAATCTGCAAAAAACAAAAAAAAATATTATTTATGCATCACTTGAAAACAGGTAATCACTCTAGGAAGACCAGAAGTAAACATGATGGGGAACACCACCTACCATCTACAACGATTTCACAAACTTCAACTCTTGACATCACATATGCCAAATCTGAAAACGAATCGTGATCACAAGGTAATCTAATCCAAGCGTCAGCAATCACTCTAGGAGCCAGAGTGATATTTCTGCACACAGAATCCTTCTTGAATGTTGATATGCCATTCTCCGATAACAGCAATGATAGCGATAAGTCCCGCCCAAATATGTTTATACAGTCGGTTCGCCCTGCTACTTGATTACATGGAATAACACATTCCTGCGGTATGTGCTGCACCAAATTGCTCAAAGCACACTCTAGAACAAAGCTCATATATAACTCTTGTATGTTAGCTTTCAGTTGCCGGCAGTCATCATTTTCCACAGGAAGAATCAAAGTGGAGTCAAGTACCTCAATTTTATAAGTAATGGCAAGCTCAGAACCTTTAGTGCACTCAGTAGCTTGTGGCAATGACTGCACGCCTGATTTTGAAGTCCAGTCAGGAAGCGTGAAGTATCCAATTATAATGGCTAGATATTCCGGTGGCAAAATGCAGCATGTGTGTTGAATACCAATGCTCACTTCAAGCTCGGAACCAGAAGACTCCAAATTCCTCTTCCTTACACGTAGGTTCAAGACTGGAGAGACATCTGTTAATGAAGTTCTCCAAAGAAATCCGCCAGAATAGTTGGTGAACAATGATGACTCCAACATCAAGTCTTCGGCAGAGGCAACCAAATCAAAACAATCGTCTGAAATGGTAAGCACGTATCTGGATACTGGCAGTCTAATAGTTCCAAAAACACCCGAGGGGTCATGGAAATGCACATTGGTGTTGGAAACATGCACATCAACTACAAAGAGACTGGTCTGACCCCTGGAGAACGAAAGCTCATTCAGAGGACAGTCACAGTTTGGTTGCAAAGTACAGCCCTCACATTTGCAGTTCAGACCTATGTCAGTCCCATCCTTTTTATTCCTTAGTATAAATGAGTTCCTCCAGTCAGAAGAAGAATAACAAAGAGAACTATCTAGGCTACCAAGAGAACCAGAATTGTAAATGGTCATAAATGGATATCTGTCAAGAGGAATGGAGCCACAAGATCTACTTTCAATGAAGTTTGAGAATCCAAACCTTTCAAAACCAAGCCGAGGAATTTCTGTTGGAGTACTTGTCTCTGCAGGAAGGCTAGATGGATACGAATCCGCAGAAGAGATCTTATAGGAAGTTATCTTATCCAAAAAACTTGACAGTAAACCAAATATGTATGGGTAGCAATGGAGTTCAGCGCCCGTCCAATTGATTGTATACTTGTGAGAAACAGATTTTTTACTTCGGGAAACCTTGCAACTTAAGCTTAGAACAGATTCAGGAGTTGTACCGTTATCACTAATGTTGGTTTGACCGCTATTTTTAGCATACATCTCCTGTCCACTGGAAAAGAACGAGTCGAGTACATCCCCAGATGAACATAAAATATGATTATGAGCTGCATCTTTAGAGGAACAAGCTATCAGTTCCAATGCTTTAATACGGACCGACCACTCTTCAAATTTGGTAAGTGAATACCTGAAAAATTACAATTGTAGAGCTTGTCAGGAAACCCAGGTTCTACAATATTTAACAGCTGAGAACCAAGAGAAAAAGAATTTGATGGGTATGGTTTTGAAAATGACATGAGAAGAGTAAGAGACAGTAATCACAAGACCAAATTTGTGTATAATAAGAAACATGAGCAGATATTCAACTGCTTGGAAAAATAAACAGACAACCGATATACATACCACACTGCACTCATAATAGCTGAAGAGGGATATGCTAGTGTAAAAAGCATTAAATACCTACCAGAGATCAAGGTGCTGTATTGAAAGAATAAGCACTGTGCTATTTACTCCTTCATTTTCAAGATTGACGTGCAATCTGAAAAGTGCCAAGTTGGTATTGATGGTGAATTGAAAAATAGAAACAGGGTAAGGTGGAACATCTTGAGTTTCGTGTTCCTGAATATCAAGATATTCAATCACAGACATGACTCCTTCAAATATTGACGGAGAGAAATGTACATTGACCGTAGATAGAGTAGCTTCAACCTGCCATGAATGAAACGACAAAATAATCAAATTTCAAATTGTGGTCTCCACTTTCGACGCCTCTACAAAAGTACGAGTATTTAGTACCAAGCAGGAAGTTATCCATTCTCTCAGAGAACTAGATATATCCACCTTAGAAGCTGGATTCAATTTTAATACCTCTAATTGCTTCAATACTGACTCTTCCGGAATTAAACAAGACGCTAACTTTATAAGTACTGATGTTTTCTCCACAAGGGGAAGTTCTTGTAAAGAATGAATCTTCGTCAGCCTCATCTGCACAAGATGCAGTTGTAAGAACATCTATGATTACTTATACAACTCCAATACATAAATGTATATACATATCATATACCTCAAGGTCACAGATGTTGATCTCAAACTGGTCATAGAGATCTTTGACTTGAAAAACATTCAAGGCTGCAAGGGAACTTTGTAAACCATCCCCCATACCTGACTGCATTCTTGGACTTGTTTTAAGAAAATCTGTGCTACTTGATGTAATAGAAAGAGATTCCAATACCAGAACCTGCACAAGGTAATGCGCGGAAGATGAAATAAATACTGAGAAGGATTCAAAAAAAAAAAATATTAATACGTAATAACCAAATGACTATATACGCAAAATACCAGATTATAGCTTTCTGATTCAACCAATCGTCCAGGGAAACAAATGGTAATATCTTTTATGTCCAGGTCCCACTTCACTTTATTTCGGCTTGATAAGAGGTATCTATAAAACATACCACGGCACAATTAAGTACCATAATCAATGAGGATATGAATCTACACCTACGTTTCCATAGGGGAAAAACTTACTCGGTTTTCGCCACCAATCGCGTTTCATTTTCAAGGCCATTGAGTGATGATAGAACCTGAGCGACACAGAAGAATGTTATATGTTTTCCATGTGAGGCATCTTTCACAAAATATACCTTGAAACCATTCATAATGTCACAAACCATTTATTATATAAAATAGCCGCAAATCATTTCATATAATTCCTTAATTTTATCTATAGCATTTAAATGTTCAGTACAATTAGCAGATTCAACTTTCAGACTTTTTATCACTACGGTATTCACGGAGACAAACTGATCACTTAACCATACTTCCTTAACTGTTGTTTGTCGAAAACTTCATATGTTTTCAGGGCAAACATTACGAGCATATAGCAGAAGATAGTGAAATACGAGCTCACTCTTTCGTGTTGAAGTCTGAAGGCTCTTGAACTAGCGAAAAATTTACTGACAGCTAGAAAGAAATCAACATCATATGCGGCTTCAAGTGGTTGAAGGGCGACCTACAGAAACAAGAGGATAAAAGCTATAATAAAGTCAATCCTAATAGGTAGCAATGGACGAAAGTCCAAGACTACTGAAAGGAGCAAGCAATGGGTTTGTCCACAAAGGTACAGTTAGTTCACCTTTAATGACGATGCAACATCTTGATCTGCAGACAAATTTAGCCGCAATCCATATGAGGGTGTCCTTTCTAGTGAGGGTCTCATTTCTATTGCATCATTCTGAGAAGAAACATGCATGAAACATTCTAAATCAATCATTTTACTGAAAAAAATAAAACCGCTACAACAGATTCTAATAACGGAGACAAGGGAGCATATGTTACAACTAGATGGTTCATATCACCTTCTTACATAAGCATTAGTCTAATATGTTCATGATTTCCAATATTAGTATTTTTAACAAGATGGCATAGGCATAACAGCGTAATGAGAGACAAACCCCTTTCATGGTTAGAATTTCTTTCCCATTTCGAGGATAGACCAGCCTTCCAGAGATAACAGAAGCAATGATGGCTGTAGATTCTTTCCAAGACTTGCATTCAACAATCACCCCCAAAATTTCCAACTCTGATACAGCTTGAGAAACTCTTCTGTGCAGTTTTAAATAAGAAGAAAAAAATAAAAAGAAGAAAAGTTAAATCAGAGACAGAGATCATGACAAAGCAATTGAGAAGTTGTAACTTACCCATTTATATGCTGCAAAGTAGCAGAAATTTTTTGCACGTCGAGTCTAACGAAGCACGTACAGTTACGAGTTGCACTAATATTTCTAGGAGATGAAGAAATAGGGTGAAACTTTGTTGCCTCGTGTATATCCTGCAGTAAATGAAAAGTAACTATGATGTCCCGCAGAGTTTTGAAAGCAGAGTTTTGAAAGCTCCATCGATATATAATGATACCAAAATACCTTGACAATTTCATCAGAAACAACACCAGAAAATTGACTCGAATCATCTGTGCCTCCGGCACCAAGCATTCCCCGTGACAACCAATTCAACCACCCACGCGACTTATTCGATGTAGGATCATCACTCTGTTCCTTTTCGGAGACACTCTGTTCCTTGTCAGTGCCAGTGGCACCACCTGCTCCGATGTTCACAGCCAATTCTGAACGAGCTTCCTGCATAATAAGATTCAGAGCCCAAAGGCAAAAGGAATATAAGGAAATGCCAGTGCTAGGACATCTATTTATCTGTTATAAGGGGATAGATATCTGACAACCTGTGGCATATCTTAAAAAAATATGCTACCACAACAACCTAATTTACCGTACCTGCATCTCACCTTCTGCTGCAGACCGATAACTTAAGATATCATCAATGTCAGACTTCTTCTCCATTTCTTCCAGACCCAAAAGAATTACCTCATCGATTGACTGCAGCCAGACGCATAGAGGACACCCATATTAGAAGACAAGCAATATGGCAAGAAAAACAGGTATCACATCAACTCATCTTCAAGTTTAAAAAGCTACACGTAATGTCTAGCGTAAAGCCCCGTAGCTAAATGTGATGCAGAATAAGGCACCAAAAAGTCTAGGAAAGAGAACTATGTATTTTTTCAGGCAGCAATTTCTAAACAACTACATTTCGCATGATGTAAGCTCTCAGAAAAAAAAATAGATGTTGGAAGATAACAAATACTTTCTTCAATTTCCTTCTTTTTAAAAATGAATGATGCAGCCAGAGGCTTAGATCTAGTCTCTGCAATTTCTACATCTGATTCCAACACTCCAGCAAGTATAAAAGTTTCCAACACTGCTTAAGCTACCTATGAAATGAAACGATATAAACCATTTGTAAGGATGCACGTGCTTACGATAAAAGACTTTCAGAAAAATGTTAGTCTTGCTTCTCAACCTACCACTACCCATCCATATACATGTTGAAGTACATTAAAGGACCAAACAAATCGAGGTGACAAACCACCTATGCTTCCTATTTTGTAAAAGCATGTAAAAGATGATGAGGCTTTCTATGCTCTATGTTCAATTCAACAGGCTAGGTTAGGCAGTCTCATGCAGTTAAGCAAGTAGAAGGACAAGAAGCAACATAATAAAAAGCTAGATACCTCTAATCAGATGAGGAAAAGAAATACTTGCCTGTTCTTTGCGAAGGAAATCCAGCTTTATCTTATAATAGTTTATATACCTCCTGCGCATTGTCCTGTATTTTTTCACGAAACAAAAGTCAAAAGTTTAAGCAGCTTGCTTAAATACATCGCAGTATTATAGTTCTACGTATGCCATGAAACTGTAACTGATATGTGATTAAGCATCATTTAACTTAGATAGTACTTACATTCGCTCTCCAAGAAATCTCCATGAAGTTTTCCAAAGTTTCTTCCGTACTTGAGATATAATTGATCTTTGGGCATAATGCCACCAGAGTCTCTGCCACCCTGGTGGTTTCCTTGATAAGGAACTGGAGCAGGGGCGATATCGCCCATACCTAAACCATTGGATTATTCTTTTAATCAATAGTTCTTCTAAGCGTCACATAGTGCCAGATAATAGAGCTAAGTCTCCGAATAATAACGGAGGGAAATGATCACTACCCAAATGAAAGGCTTACCTCTCACGTAATTGGCTGGTTTGTAAGTAATCTAACAGTATAAGAATCTGCTGCAACTGAAATTCATTCAGAGTCATGACCTGCAATGCATAAGTGGAAGTTAGAATGGGTATCTTAGCTCTTAACCTAGTACAGCAGTTTCTGAGAACTAACCACATCAGTCAACTCAGCGCTGATAGAATACTGAGGTAGACCATCATAAAGCTCTCCAGATCGATTGACCTATGCAAAGAAATGCATCAGGCAAACGACAAAATGCATATTTACACAGAGAACACATATGCACAAGTAATAACCGATGCAAAGACACCAATGCCTGTTCTCCATACATATTCTCTTAATATCTATATGGAGCTGACAGAAACGCAATGCACACCATCACTGGTAACACTGATATATAGGGATGTCTTCAGAACTGCACTACGTGAATAAATAAATAAGTTCAGCCTAGAACTATGCGCGTAGTATATCACAAAAGGAATTAGCTTCCAAGACACAGCATTAATTAGAATGTCCTAATTCCATAGGCCTTTCCGAAAATCAAGAAATGGACTACCTACAGAAGATATAAGATACAACTGTGTGCATCTCATTTTTAACATAACCCTAAAGCTAGAGGAAGTATGCAACGCCCTGGAGTAGCAACAAAGCTTTGATGATGACTACAGATGTTAAACACAAAGAAAACTAGTGACACTTTTTAGCTCCATTACCGATAGTGTTACACAAACATGGACTGGCTTCAATAAACAACCAAACTCATCGCTTTGCACTCTCGCTTGGCACCAGTTGTCAAAATCTCCTTTTTTATCAACACTTAGAAAGTCCATGTCTCCTTCATACATGTCGCAATAAATTTCCAAAGCTTCAACCTCCACACGTTTATTCACTTGCCCCACTCTCGTCTTACCAACTGATTTTCTGATATTCAACATAGACGCCATGTCACGATATATCAGGGTGAGCATGCACATATCACATAGATCTTGGCTATACCAAAAAATATTAATTTGTGGAAGAAATAGGTATTACTACAGTAAGTAAATGTAACTTAAACACACATTTCCTTACCATGGAGAAAATCAAAGGTACAAGGAATCAACCACGAAAGTGTAATACATTTTTATTAAATGCCATAGAAGGTTTATCAAGAAATTACCCAACGGGGTTTTGCTTCGAGACTGTCAAACTTGAAAACCGCAATCCTAATACAACTTGTTCCTGCAGACAGCAGTCTACAGTCAAACATATGAAAACAAATGATGATTCAAATTGTAACTTTAGTGAGTCGCAAGAAAGAATAAAAGAAATTCAGCACCATCCAGCTCCTAAACTTGACGCTATCTAATATCATATCCCCCAATATAAATATATGTGCTCTCACGAATGAACCAAGACTACATCACGTTGTATATGGAGAAAACTGATTTACAATCCTATAGTCTAGTAAACCAATTAAGCTGAACAAGCAGGAAGACTTACCGATTCAGATTGTGCATCGGAGTATACGATGTGGAAGTTTTTGATGGACAGTTGAACACTATCAAGAATCTAAGCCAATAAAGAAGGAAGATCATCCACAAGCAGGAAGATCATCAACACATCATCAGACCGAACATAATAATAATAAAATGTTAAGATGCCTAAATTAAGATTTACCTTACTCGCCTTATCTGCAAGAAACGACGTAACATAATTCCCTGCTGAACTGCCTGGAAAATACAAAAAAAAATTGAAGGGCTTGGCCATAGGAGCAAACTAGTTAGGTGAAACGTAAAAGTAAAAGTAAAAGTAAAACAGCTCACCGAAGACACGCTTAGACAATTTCCCCAGTTCTGCAGCAGCAAGCTTAGCTTTCTTCCCAGCAAACTCTCTTTTCTCAACCACATCTGAACTCCACTGCAATAACCATTAAAACACATTTGAAGGTTAAGTACAAAACACTTGTCATGTAGGCTACTAAACAGCAAAAAAAAAAAAACCTCTTGATCACTTCGTTGTGTTGCGCTTATAAAGACATCTTCAAGCTGAATAATGATGGGTTCCCATCCAATCTTCTTCCATGGAATCTTAATGCTCAACTTCCCAACACGTCCTGTAAGAAGAATAATAAAGAAAATTTTGATTCCATACAAATTAAAAAACCGACAAAAACCGCTCAGAAACCTTGTTTAAGAGCGATAGGTAGCTGCAAATAGTCAAACGCTTCAAGAATCAGCTCCACGTTCTCCAAAAAGACTTCCTCTGCAAGATTCGTTGGGTTTAATCATCCAATTACAGAGATGTGGAAGCGAGAAGAAAGAGTAATTACCTTTCCAAACAGTGATCTTGAGTTGCTCTCTCTGGATTTCTTTGATGAAGCGACCTAAGTACCCGAATAAAACCTTTTGCACAAGCCATTCGAACATCTTTCAAATATCTCTATATCATCACTATCCACAAGATTCGAATACGAGATTAATCCAATTTTCTCAGACCAAGTCGAGAGATCGTTAGGGTTTTTCCTCCTTTGCGTCGTCGAGACAGTAATAGTTGTCTAATCGAGACGGATTATTCCAGTTTTTTCAGTCGGTTGTGTCGTCCTCTCCACGCCGAATCGAACCGGAACCGAACCGATGTTTTATAATTTGGTTACTTTAACCGACACCACGGTGTTCACCCGCAGCTACCGCGTCTAAAACAAAGCGATTACGAAAGAAATGCGTTTGTAAGATTTATATGGGCTGTTTTGAAGCAGAGAGAGAAGAGTATTGTTAACTAGATTTACATATTGTTTGATCAAGACTATCGTTTTACATATTGGATCCACTTTGTATTTGTTAACTAGATTTTGAACAATAGTGATGAAAAAAACACAAAAAAAAAACTGAAAAATAATTAAAAAAAAAGGATTCAAATTTAAATAAAACACAATGGAATCATCGTGGCGTAGTAGTGGTTAAGGCCAATCATGTTTGATAAATAAAGTTAGAGATTATATGATTATGTAATTGGTGATTTACGCAATATAAAACAAAAAGAGATGAGACTATGCTTCTAGTAAAGAAAAAATTGCATATTTATAATTGTAAAATTTTTATTAATAATATTTTTAAAATTTTCTACATCTTTCAAAAAATATTAATAAATTTTTAATTATAATATCATTAGTTTCTTTTAGATATCGATAAATTTTATAAATATTCTTTAGCTATAATTTTTAATAAATATACAAATTTTATATGAATTTTCTTAGTAATTATATACAAGTTGATTTAATACATTTAACCAAAATAAATATATAAAAACATTTCTAAGATTCAAATTTTAAATATATTAAATATATATTATTAAGTATAATTTAAAATAAACAAATTTATTTTTTCTTAATTTTGTGCTTATAATTAAATCAAATGTATATTAAATATTAATAAAAATAACAAGATATATAATAGTAATAAATTTAATTTTAAATATAATTTAACTTTTGAGAAGTTTGTCACCGTACATAGTGTAGGAAAACAAATAGTATTAAAAAAAAAGAGATGAGACTATGCTTTTAGTAAGAAAAACTTGCATATTACAAGCATGGTAAATTGGTAATAATAAGTAAGACAACCATAATCAGGTATTTATGATCAAAGATAAAATACTCTATAGTATTATCAATAGATTATGATCCGCACATTGCGCAAGATGAATATTATGTATATAATTTTTTCTATTATTATTTATTTTATATTTTATAAATATTATTGAATAACCAATTAATATTTATATCTTATATAATTAAGTTGGCGTGAACACATAAATCAAAACAATCACTTTTATATATTTTATAATCAATTTTAATACAAATTTTGAAATTCAAATAATAATCTCTTAATAATTTTTCAATGTAGTTGAAAATTAAATATTATGTATTTTTATGATATATAGTTTAATTTAAACAAACTGATTTATATATATATATATATATTAATCTGAAATAAATGAGACTTCCTACTTATATTGTTTTATGAACATTTATATTTTTTATACAAAAAAAAAACTAAACTACTGATCACAAAATTTTAATGTATAACTTTTAATGATTTTAGTGATTTAAAGTCATTTTAAAACATTGAAAATATAACATATACAGAAAGCTAAACTTTTAAATATTAATAATGTGATTGCTTAATTTAGTAAAATTAAATGAAAATGGTAGAGGATACCTATATATCTAATCATATTAGGTAATTTTTAAGTTCTATTTAAGGAAAAAAAAGAATAATATTTTTTGTGCATAAATAGTTAATTTTATGATAGTTTAATGAGAGCTGGCGTATTATTTAGATGGGCTAACTTGTTTTTTTTTCAAATCTATGAATCATTCTGGTAATGACACGTGTCATACCTCAAATGTTATAATGGATCTCAAATAATATATAAAGAATCTAATGTATTAAAACATAGTCTTATTTTTATCTACTGATAAAAAATAATTGGACCATTTCATTAGTAATTTTTATTCTACGAAAAATAATATTTATATATTAAATCATTTGAATAAAATATACCATCACACATAAGAATATTCTACTATAACACTATTTATTTTTGAATATTTTTTATCTTACTTTAACAAAATCTTATAGAATCTTTTTTATTATTAATTTTAAATAATGCATTAAATTCGTAATTATTATTTTAAGCAAAACAAAATTTTTTTTTATAATATCTATTATATTAAAATAGAAGTCACCATTTCACTTTACGTGTGATTTTTTGTTTTAAATGAACCGTCTATTAATATGTATATCATCATACATCGTTGGTTTAATAACTATATCATCACCCATACGAAACTTTAGAGAGAAGTTGAGATCATCAATGGAAGCTTTCGTTCCCAAACCAAACCCCAATCCATAAATTAAAAGAAACCGAAGGCTCCATGAATAGAAGATCAAAGAGAATGTTCAAAGCTATCATGGATCTTGCTCGAAACCTCGATCGAGGTTAGAACCGTTCTTCAACTCATCCGCTTAATCCTTCGAAGCGATCTTCAAGGTAAAATCTCCATTTACCCGTGTCTGATTCTCCAATTCTCTTAGTGATAGATATGGATTCTTAGTTGAAATTAAGGTTTATGATTAGGGATTACAGTTACAGAGCAGCAATTATGGCAGGGAGGGAAGGGTACTCAGGAACCTGTATCGGCGTATTCCATTCAGATTCAACCATCTCACCTTTACTTATGATCAAGTCTGCAATCTCTGTCCAGTCCTCACCCTTTTGGGTTTGGAGATTCGTCTCTTGTGAGGAGTCTTCTTCTCAGGTAGAGAATGAGAACGAGATTTGGTCGTACTTAGGGATTCTGAAGCTGATGATTCTTCATCTTCATCTTCTTCCTTGAGCAGAGCAACTGATTCCATGGCCACAACTATTGCGTGGGATTCTCTTCCTTTCATTATATGATTAACCTTCAGAATTGTAACTGTTCTCAGTTCTAGAAAAAATCCCTTACATTGATCTTAGTCACACAACCATAAAAGTTATTTCTTTTGTTTTTTTTATAGGACTGATCAGACAGAATGTTCCTTTGAGCACAGTTCATTGTATCTTATTGATCTTAGAGATTTGCGTTGATCATTGTATCTAGAAACTGGATCTTACTCTCACTTTTCCATCAGTGGCAATCTCTCTTTCCCTGGTAGTCTATAGTATGTGCTTTGGGTTTTGGTGTTACTAGAAGTGGAAGCAGATTGATCGTTGTGATTAAGAAGAGAATCATTGGTTGCTTCTTGGGGGAATTCCATGTCAGATCTTAGAGAGTTGCAATGTGTGTAGTGTAGTTTCAGGTAAGCACAGAGGATTAAGTTTTTCCTATTCCTAATTGTCAATATCTACAAAGATCAGAAACAAAAAAAAAGTGTGGTTTCATCATCTGAAACAATAAATTAAAGGTCTTTGTATTAGACAAAATTAATGAATCGTTAGTGACATAAACTTGGAGCTAGATCTGTTGTAGTTATTCTATGCCTTCATCAAACATTGTAACTCATCTACGGAATAAATTAAAAGTTTTTGTAACAGATCAAAATTAATGAATCGTTAGTGACATGAACTAAGAGCTGAAGCTGCTTTAGATGCTCCATGCCTTCATCAAGCATTGAAATTTAAATATTCTTTGCTTCTCTGCTGGTAAAGAGCAAACTCAGCAACAGAGAGAAGGCAATCAGTCTCTATTATCCTATCCCGTGGCAGTGACTATGCACACAAAATTTACCAGCAACAAAGGTTGAAGATGTTTCTAAATTCCAGTGACAAACCAAGAGCTGATGGAACTCTTTCTTTTCTCCACCAGTCACCAGGCATATTGGAAACAGTCACCAACAACAAACTAAGTTCACTTGAGATTCAAACAAAGCACAAGAACAATAAGGCACAGCCGCATGGACAAATTATATATACATATAGCATGAACAAATTATATTTATTTATCAAACCGATTTATGGTATTATATATGATATAAATCGAATAATTAATCTATATAATTTATTAGTTACATATATATATATATATATCGTTTTTAAAAAACTGTGCATCCATAATATATATAAATATTCTTTATATTCCAGTGATTATAACCTTTTAAAAAGAATATTCTTAACAGAATTATCGAATTTGAAAAAAAATGTTGCAACCATAATATATATAAATATTCCTTATATTACGAATATAATAAATTATAAACAAAATAATTTTCAAATATGTTGTTTCATACATAAGAAATTGATTTAATAATCAAACGAAAATTCAATAAAAAATATATATAAAAGGAAAATATATATATATATATATATATATGTGTGTGTGTGTGTGATGATTTGAATTTACAGCATTAAAACTATAAATTATTGTATTTGAAATAATTATACAAATGTTTAAATATGTGAGTAACATTAAAAATATATATTTTGACCCATAAAATAAATATTTATATATAAAAATGAAAATATATACCCGCACGGTTGTGCGGGTCGAAATCTAGTATTATTTTAATTTCTAAAGTTAAATATAAAAATTATAAAAAAATAAAGTTTAAGAAAACTAAATAAGAAAAAATAAAAAAACATATATTATATAATTATATGATTTTTTAGTTTACAGTTGATGTTTTATGTTTGTAAACTAAATTAATTAAATATAACTTATCTAAATAACCAAATCACAAAATAAATTTTGATCCATAAGAAATATAAACAAAATCTAATTCCTATTCATTAGAAAACATCCAAAATTTAACGAAACAGTTTAAACAAATAAACTATTCTGATTTGATTCTTATATAATTATATTTATTTTAAATTTAAATAAAAATATTAAAGTAAAAATAAATGATATTAAGATATGTTTTTAATAAAAATTAATAAAATATATAATTACATACTAATAATATCAAGCAAGACATATTAAGTTACATAATATAAGTCACCAAATTATCATAATATATTTTATCAATTTATCATTAAAATTAAATATAAATAATTATAAAAAAACATATTCGTGCGAACTCGCGGGTTAAAATCTAGTATTATGTTAATTCTATGTTTTTCTACTTGATGTGTATTACAACGTTATCAACTATATAATCTGTGTTACATATATGGAAACTCTTAAGTTATTTTATCAGAGTATTATTTATTTTATTTGAAAGTGAAAATATAAAAATAAAAATTCATATTACTATTATGCTAATTGATTTTAAGTTTTAAGCCTTAACTAAAATATAATCGAAGTATGAAAATTAAAAGAACGTGAATAAAAATCTATATTATAATGATACACTTTCAAGGCTCCTAAGCCTATCCACCTCAGCAAGTTTATGGGCCCCACATGCGTTATTAGGGAAAACAAAAATGTATAATATTTTGTAAGATTAAATGTTATCGAGGAGTGATAAAATGGCCCAATGGTGGAAGTTGGGGACTAGAAGTTGGTACCGCGAGTGTGCGGGTTCGAAATGCAGTGTTTGCATGTAATTTTTTTTTTTAATTTGGGCTTTTCAGGATACCTAAAAGCTTAGGGAGATTCAAATGATTTTTTATGAGACCATCTTAGATACTTTTATAAGAAATATTATCATGTTCTAACCTCCAATATCATTTCAATTCAGTTATAATAACCAAATAAAATAAAAACATATTTTCAATAATAAATATTTACCCCGAACCATTCAGATCAGCCATAAATCTCATATACATCACAATTAAAAAAATATATATATATACAACATAATTTCAGAAAGAAAATTACACTAATAAACACATGTCATTTTTTTGTTTTGTCTCCATTAAATTATTTTTTTACATGAAAGCACTAATAACATCAATGCTCGATAAAATCACTAATAAATGAAATGCTCGATAAAATCACTACGAAGATAAAATATGAAAATATCAACCCATTTGAATTTGATGTTTANATGTCATTTTTTTGTTTTGTCTCCATTAAATTATTTTTTTACATGAAAGCACTAATAACATCAATGCTCGATAAAATCACTAATAAATGAAATGCTCGATAAAATCACTACGAAGATAAAATATGAAAATATCAACCCATTTGAATTTGATGTTTATTCTTTTATCAGACTAATCAAGTTGTGTGACTTCTAATGTTTCATTCATCACCATTATAGATAAGCCAGATAAACAAATGTTAAAAAAAAACAGCAAAGTCTCATACACAAAACTACACAACACATCAACAATGTATCCAACCCCCGCGCTTGCGCGGGGACTATGCATCTAGTAAAAATAAAACTTGAATGCTCATGACATTAAGCATGAGTGTTTGCTATTTGGTCCGGTTCCGGTTTGGTTTTTCTGGATTTTGGTTCTTTTGGTTCTTGAGATATAGAAATCATTCAGTTATTTATGAAATTTGGTTCGGTTCGGTGATTTTGGCTTTTGTTTTGGTTCAGGTAACAATTATAAGAACCAGCTAATATCCAATAAACTTTCGGTTACACTTTGGTTCCTGTTTGGTTTTGATTATTTGGTTAGTTCTGAATATTCAAGGTAATAAAATAGATTTTTTTTTAATTTTTGATTAAAAATTGGGTAATTAAAAAAAAATGAATATTTGTATAAAAAGGTAATTCGGTTCTTTAGGGACATTAGGATAATTGTAAATACTTTGGAGAAAAAAAATTCTGGTCATTCAGTTTATAAGTAATATTTTTAGAATATTTGTTACTTTAAATACTAAATATAATTAATATTTTAGGTGTGTAAATTGTATTTCGGATATTCGGGTACCTATTCGGTTCTCGATTCGGTTCTGGTTTGATTTTGGTTTTTGGTTATAGAAAAGCACCACTCGATTATTTTTGAACTTCGATCCAGTTTCGGGTTTGGTTTTTTGGTTGGATTCGGTTTTCAGTTCTCAGTTTTTATTCCTAGGCCTAGTTCATGTCAAATCTGCAGCCAAATCTATAAAAATGAAGAAGTCCTTTTTATTGAGTTGTGATACATGTGGACTCGTGTGAGGTGATGCGCGCATGGGAACAAATACATGAATAAAGATGCTTAATTAGGGTTCGTAGTATAGTGGATTAGGGAGCTTGAAAGTCCTTCTGCCAGGGTTGTCTTTGGTCAAATCAGCATATTGGTCTCCAATATTCCCAATGATAGTGTGGCCGCTCTTCTCCAGCTTCTTCCTCTCCTTTGACTTGAAGTTTGCTGTCTTCATGTTCGAACCTGTTGGCCTGCGTTTCCACACATACATAGATGAAATATCCATCCACTCAAATCACAAACGATTATTGCTGTGTATGATTAAGCTAGTTAATTTAAATATTCTTACCTGAATAAGATATGTCTCCAATAGGGGAAGCCAGCATCTTTGAGATTCTTTAGAGTGACTTCCTCGAACTCTTGGAATCGCTCAGTGAGTAAGATGGGTTCAATACCGAGCTCTTGAATGTTATTGTAAAGATGCAGAGTCTCTGGGAGCCCGGGAGCTTCTCCTACCTCTAACCACTTCCTGAACGCCTCGCGGTCGTGCTTCTCTGTCCTAAAATACCAAAAGAAGGAGAAAAAAAAGTTTTACATGAATCACAATGTATCCATGGAGACTGACATCTCAATACAATTTGATCAAATTGACTAAATGTTGGTTGACATCTAAGCATTTTTTTTCAAAAAAAAAAACTAGGAATTATCGGTGTACAAACAAAATTAATAGATTTTATAGAAATTCTTAAAACTATATATGTATTTTTTCTTAATAAATAGGAGTCTAAAGAGCACCTCCGACGTTGAGGTGGAAAAGAAGTTCTTACTATTAAAAATATATGAAATTAACAAATTAAGAGAAAGAATAACACAAAAGTTCTTCCACAACTTTTGGAGACCGGTTTAAAACTCTAAAAGACATATGTTGTTCAGACTAAGTTTCAAC